GCTCTACTGCTAGTGTACAATAAATATGGCGACATATGCGTTCAAATAAGTCCAATAGTGAAAATAAATTTTAACGCCTCCTGCTATGGAAATTATTGACACTAAAAAGCGTAGTTCAAAAATCTGCTACAATGGGTCCATGTATACTAAACATGTCACTCGAAAAAACCAAGTTGTGACTTTTTTCCAAGCCAAAATTTTGGCTTTTTTCTTTTACTTTATTATTGACGTTAGTGTGGCTTAATTAACTTAAAAGTCAAGAGAAAGAAAAGTAAAAACGAAAAACATAAATTTAAACAATAAAGTAACATATAAAGTTACATATAAAGTTACATATAAAGTTACATATACTCATCATGACATCCAGTCTGATAAAGATATACCAGGCACATGCATCACAGCCAAAAGTTTCGATAATAGCAGAGCATGACCTTGTAGGTAGATTACTTTTAAAATACCTCCAGGTCGGGTAAGTCAGTTAGCTCAGACGGAATCTGGGTGTTTCCCAGTTTTTAGTTGTGACTGTCTTATCCCTCAAACATAAAACCAAAAACAAAATAAAAGAAAAAAAGCTCTCACCCGGCCATAATGCTCCCCTGCTCATGAACAAAAATGCATGGTGCGATAGTTCTTAGGAGACATGCGCAACTGGTAAGATTAAGTACATCTGTAGTATCGAACGGGATATTTACTATTGTCCATCTTAATTCACTAAGACAAAACACGTACTTTTTAACACCCCAAATCATTTAAATTCAGAAACCACGAAATCCATGCCCTATTGCCCACTTTATTATTATTATTATTATTATTATTATTATTATTATTATTTTCTTTGATTTGTGGCGTTTACACATTTCTTTCCGGCTCCGGCCCAGTGACCTAAGGTTAGAAATGGCATCATGACACTTTCCACTGACAAAAAAAAAAATTACATAGATAAGGCCCTTCGTAAAGTGTGGGATGTACTTGTCAGATCAATTTTTTGTATCTCCTTGAGGCATGGACTTCCAGGAATCCCTTCAATTAGTCTACTGCAATCTTTTCCAACCAGTCCTAGGGCTCCAACTACAACAGGGATTGTTGATGTTCCCATATGCCACATTTTTTAAATTTATTATTATTATTATTATTATCATTATTGTTGTTGTTGTTTATAAAACAAGAAACAATAATTGCTTCGCTTCTTCTCAAGGTTTTATTAAGTTGATCAACATATGACTACAATCAACATATGAATATGACACAGAAGGAGTTCCTTTTGAATTAATTGAGTCCAAGAAATTTAGAAATATTTTGTGGTTTTACTGAAAATAAGACAATACCAAAAATTTAATTTTGAACAATAAAATGAAAAATCGTATTTCATTCCGAAGTGTAGAAATCGGTATAAATAAGGCTTTTACTTCAGTTTCAGATATTTAAGACAATTTTCCAAATTCAAATGCCAGTAATTAGTCCAATTAAATAACTATCAAAATAATTAGTTTTCTTTTTCTTTTATTGTGACAATCATTGTATTAGTCTTAATCTTAACAACTATTGTATGCGAAGTTGTTAATCTTATCGATCATGTTAGAGTTGTTAATCTTATCGACCACCGTATTAGAAGTTGTTAATCTTATCGACCACCGTATTAGAAGTTGTTAATCTTATCGTAATGAAATTGTTCGTGAGAAGCGAGTTTAAATCTCTCATGAATTTCTGCCTGAATATCTGAGTTCGTTTAAGTAGAAGAATTAACTGGTAAGTGATTATTCTCTGTCACGAAATGATAGCAATCAAACCCAGTGAGTGAATTGAATAAAAGGTTCGGTATGAAATTCTGTGAACATTACCGAATACAAAAAGAATCGAAAGAAGGCCGAAATATTGTGATTATAACAACCAAGATGAAGAGAACAGTTCGAACAGATCTTCAGTTAACGACTTAACCAGTTAACGACCCTCGATTTACGACAGGTGGTAAAACCTTATAAAATAAAATCTTATAAAATAAAACCCAACTAATTGTTATTGTACGCTGTACAAAAACTTTGTTCGTTTTCTATTTCTTTAAGATGAAACAAAATAAATGAACAAGTAAAATGAAAATAAATAAAAATATACTTGTACTGTATTTAGAAAATGTAAACCGAACCAATGTACAAAATATAAAACTGATTTTTTTATTTGTTTATTTATTCTTTTTATTCGGTCGAGCTGTCTCTGACATTCATGAGTCTACCACGCCGACCATGACGGTCCCTCATCAAGGTCGAAAGGTCATTAGGATGGCATTCTGTGTGATAACATAGTTGGTAAATGTAGGTGGTTGCTGGGTGACCAACCCGTCTCGCTCCATGGCTAGGTGTCCAGAGTAGTAGATCTCTTGTAAGTTCCTGATTTGTTCGCCAGCAATGTCCTGCAAAGCACATTTCGCGTTCGCATATCATTGTAGAGATATCAGGGATAGAGCTGTGATTTAGTTGGATATTGTCTACAAGATTTGGTTTGGTTTGGTTTGTTTAACGGCATATCCTTATGTAAGCCCCCAAAGTCCAACCCTTACATCACAGTCGGTGGGAGGGGGGGTGTAAACGGTAGTGTCAGAGCTATGCCGCCCGGAACTTCGTTCTTGGTAGGGCACCCAAGGCGGACAGGTCTGACACACACGCCGGCTAACAAGGGCTCTGGTGAAAATCCAAGGAGCGTCTGCATCGGTAACCGGCGGCTTCTGGTCGTTCCTGTCTCTGCGTCTGTGGGAACCCCGCGGCAAGCAAGAACGTTATCCGAGTAGGCCTGGGTACCCTACTTCTGTAATTTATCCCAAGAATCTTCTTCTCATAACAGGAAGAAGCCGGCTCAATCCGCCCAGGGTGAATGCCGCATCAGTAGTAGTAGTATATCCTTATGGGTCATTTAATGCCGAAATTTAATTTTCTTGGAAGCTTTAGTAAATTTTTTTAAAAAAATCCTTGTAATTTTTCTCTTTCTTTTCCAATAATATATTGCTGGTATTTTTTTTTTCTATTATGAAAATATATTGCTGGCAGTTTTACTACCAAAATTTATTTTTATACTTTGTTAATGTTTTGACTCCGGTTTTCGGGTTCACTATTTGGCCATGGTCTAAAAGATGCTACCACTCCGGGTCAGGGTGGACCTGGGGACAACATCAATTAAGAGGTGGCTCTACGCTCCTCAAAACCTCCCGATCAAAGTCCTTGCTGCCGGATGTAGTTTATCGTCATACCTAGGTTGATGTCTCCAAGAGATGTTAAGTATAGCTCTTAGCATCCGAATGTAGGTTCCATCAGGCTTAGATTCCAGCGTTTTAGTTAATGTCCAAGCATTTACACCATACATAAAATAGCATCTACAGTGGCCAGAAAGAATCTCCGTTTGTGGTTGTCTGATAGGTCAGATTTCCAGAAAACATTCACCTTACTCAGACTTTAGCTATGCGAATTTTCACATCCGTTTCAGTAAATTTTATTTCGCTTCCTTCGTATGTAAAATATTCTACAGATTTTATTGATTCACCTGAGACAATTAGTTCAATAACTTTGCTGGTTGAAACTTATGAATGCAATTTTAGTGGTATTGACTTAGAGTCTAACATCGTTAACAGCGTTTTCTAGATGATGTAGGAGAACTATTGCATTGGTAATGGTGTCTGCAAGTGCTGTATAAATATTAACTAACAGTATAAATATTTAGAAATAAATGGCAAATGTTACACATGGTTCAAAAGTGACATTAAAGCTATTTGAAACTGGCAGGCACAAATCCATTACATGTGTAGTATGCCTGTAACAAGTACAGTTTATTACTTAACGTCCAGTTTGTTTACGACCAGCTCGTTGGAACGGAACTGTGTCGTTAAGTGAGTAGTAATTGTATAATAATCGGAATAAACGTTCTGAAATATAACAATTTCATTGAAAACACGCAGATAGAAAACCAAACAATTTTGCTTAAATCACAGAAACTTACGTAGCTTAACAGTTAACAGTTTTGGTAGCATTAAACTGGGTGGCAAACATATGTATGTCGCCCGGCGGGGAAGTCAAAAATCCAGGCTTTTACAAGTGGCCGGATATAAGTCGTCAAAGTGATGAATACGATGAGGTCAAGAGGTGTAATTAAATTTATTTTTTAAATATAATTTCATGCAATCTGAGCAAAAAAAATTGAATTAAAATAAAAAATTTCTTCTCACGTATAATAAAATTTATTCAGAAAAAAAACAGTAGGAAAAATATTCCATATATATATATATATATATATATATATATATATATATATATATATATATATATATATATGGAATATATATATATATATATATATATATATATATATATATATATATATATATATATATATATCAGAAAATTCATATATTTTATTTTATATATATATATATAATGTCTGCGTCTCGATTTCGTCTAATGTTGTCCTTTGATTTATCATGAAATACGAGCAGCATGCGTTCTTTCTGGTAGCAACTTACATTCTCTTGCGCAGATGTGGCAACACTGAATGCCTCTTGCAGCAGTTGATACAGTAATAATTTCGTGAACTTTCATATAATGTTTTAGTCCACAAAAAATAGATCAAATATACATAAAAGGTCGGCTACTCGTTTCTAGTTGCTGTTACAGGCGCCTTCTCAGGCACATTTGTATTTCTTCAATATTTATAGACTCCACCTGTGGTTTATACTACAGCCGGCGAAAGACCGCATCATTTGGCGGGATCAACAGTCTAAACAAGGCTACTGTACTTGAACTCATGATGACGTGTAAATTTGTGCTGGCACAAACATCGACAATAACCATAATTAGCTTGTGTCATCCTCTGTGGTATGATGTAGTTTCAAAGGTAATAACATCAAGAAATCACTCTCCTAACAAATCGATCATATTGAGATTTGAGCTCGAACCTCATGGCAAGCGAACGTTCTAGCCACTCGGCCACGTGCCCATGACATACGTGCATAAATATATACAAACATACGGTCAAATCACGCTGAAGGTGCCAATTCTCGTTCGATCACCGAAGTTAAGCAGCGTCAAGTGTAGTGAGTACTTAGACAGGTGACCGCTTGGAAACGGCCTGTTCTCTAAGCAATCGTAAGCGGCACAGGGCGCCTCCAATTATCTTGCCTTTTTTTATTATTGGATCATAACTGTCTGGCGCTAAGTCCATATAGTGTTGCACAAGCTATAAGTACTGACGCGCATACCATCGGATTTTCGGAGGTTGGGTGAGTGGGGAACATTCTCATAGACTACAGCTTGTTTGGTGACCGTCTTTGTGCAACGAGTAGGCAACTATTATATATGTATATATATATATATAGGTACTTCTAACAATTCGCTAAAAAATGAGTATACATGATGAAAAAATGCGCAAGATAAAAAACAAAGTTTTATCGTCATAATCTTTATGTTGTTATGATTAAGATTCCTCTTGATAATAACATAAAGATTTTGAACCAAGGATTTTTTGATCATTGAATTATATTTTTAATCCTTCTTAGAACCTTCAAAATTTTGGTTAAACTTCTTGCGTCAGTAGGTGACCATAAATTAGTATGGAAATTTTTAGCCTCTTTTTTGCGGTGAAAATCACATTATTTTGAAATATTTGCAAAAATCAAATAATTGTCGGATTTTAATAAAACTTTCACGACTTATTCACAAATGAATGAAATTATTTTAAAATCATTTTTTTTTTTTTTTAGAAAATCTTGGTAAAAATGAGTTTTTTTACATCTGTTACCCACCTCCTATTTCATTTTATAAAATTTCAAGAAATTCTTTTTGTATAGCTTAATGTTTATATTAGTTATAAACAGAAGTCCTTGGAGAATTTAAATCATCAGGTTTGTTTTGTAAAACAGAACCCCCAGTTACCGAAAATCTGCTTAGAATCTTAAAAATATAAAATGCAATAAAATAAAGATATTATTTAATTAGAAAAAGCTTTTAATTGCTTTTATGAATAAGATATATTATAGACACTATTGTCTGAAGAAACACCTTTTTTTCGATGAATAATGACTGCTTGCAAAAATTATTTTCATTTTTTTAAAAATTTCATTAGATTAATTTATAAAGTTATAAATATTTAAAAATTTTGCATTACTTTGTCCTCGTTAGGTTATACTGGTATTAACTAAAAAACTATATTTGCTAATTTCTGTATTAATTTTTAGCGGTCAAATGATATTGTTATTAAATTATGACTTTATTTACTAATCCTAAAAGTTTACTACAACTCGGCGACAACCAGTATTTTAAAAATAATATTGAATTTTTTGTGTATGTGTATAAACGTGCCGATTTTTATAGATACGGATGTCCATACACAACTATCAGAAAATAAGTCAGTAACTAAACTTCAATAAGACTTTACTTTTCTAAATTTTTAAGATTATTGGGTAGTTAAAAAAATATATAAAAACGTTATATTCGTCAAGTAATTTTTAAATATAGGTCCCCCGTAGAAAAAATTAGTTAAATTTCTGGCTCCCTGTTAAAAATGCATTCCTGCGATATAAACTAAAGATAAGTAATATTTGTTTCAAATAAGTTAAATTAAAGTTTAAATCAGCTAATCTTCCTCAAATATAGATTCAGAAAAGCATATTTTATTTTTGAAATATTTTTTAATAGAAAATTATATTGTGCTGAGTGAATTATAAATATGGCTAAAATCAGCCATTTTTAGCAATTAAAAAAATAATCATTCTACTCAATTTAAAATGATGTTTTGAAATACACGAATGTATGTAATGAAAACTGAAAAAAAAAGCTTCAAGAAAGAATTTTAATTTAAAAATTTAATTTTAATCCTCAGGCATCCCGTTTCTTTGGATGTACCTATTATATATATATATATATCGTTGTTGGAAGTGTTACCTGATGATCCGGATTCCTTCAAAAAGGATTTTGGTGAAATAAATTATTGTAATGGTACCTTAAAGTGGTCTGTTTTTTCATTAAATATTTATTTATATATATATATATATATATATATATATATGCGTGTGTGTGTATGTATGTATGTATGTATGTATGTATGCGTGCCTGTTTCTGCAGGGTTGGGCAGAAATACGTCCTACATATACTTCTCAGGAATACTTCACACATAATGATACGACATTATTATGTGGGTGGGGTGGGGTGGAGTGGCGTGGTGGGTATTTCTGCCGTACACTGCATAAGAAGAAAACAATGAATAATATTTTTAACTTTCAGAAAGTCATTGTTAATACACATATTGAAAAATTTAACTACACAATTGTTATTTTTAAGCTAAACTTAGTCTGGCACAGGGTCCTAGTATCGGAGAAACTCAAGGGGACTGAACTCATTATATTCGTAATAGTGTGTAACAAGGCAATATACTGTTATCACATGGGAAACGATAGAAACCATATGAAAATAAGGAGTGAGAATGAGTAGTGGAGTGTGTTTCTGAGTGCAAGTGTGAAAAATGAGGAAAATATAGTTGCCTTGAAAGTAGTGTAGTTGATTGACTGAGTGATTCGTTTCTTACCCTTTGCATGTTAATTAAAGCCAGAAAATATTTTTTAGATAGTAAGAATTGTTTTTTATTTATTTATTTATTTTTTTTAGATAATAGAGGTTTGGTAATACAAGTTTTATTAATTAACTCATAGCTTGGGGAGAAGAGGTAGATTTATACATTTGCCAATGCTATTTGCGCGTAAGTGAATATAACGAACCCAACTGGAATTGGAACTCGGTTCTTCGATTAACAATTCCGCGCTATTCTATATTCTATATTATACTCGCACATCCAAGCTTACAGCACCTGGCATTCCGGAGTGGTCACCCATCTAGGTACTGGCCTGGCTTGACGTTGCTTAACTTCGATGATCGTATGGGAACCAGAGTTTCAACGTGATGTCGCCGTAAGCCTAGTAGTATTGTATCCACGTTGATTGAACTAAGGCTGCCGACGGATGAAAATTACTATCCAGTGAAAAACAATAATCCGCACAATAATGTTTTTACGTTTGGAAATGGATTAATTATTATATTCTGATATATTCAACAATTGGCAAACTCTATACTAATTTAGCGAAAGTTTTTAAAATAACTGGTAACCATTGTATTTAGTCTATATCTGACTCTTGACTACTTATTTACATAATCTTTATTTTCAATATTATACAGGGTGTCCCAACAAAATTAACATAATTTAAAATGTGAATATCTGAGTAACTACATATCCCAGGCAAACGAAATTAAATAGCCTTCATGTTGAACAACAAAATATATTTTTAGCAAAATTCGAACAAGATATTCAAAGGGATGTAGACTTTAAGCGATTTCATAAAGCTTCACAAATGTTCAATATACGTACCACATGTGAAACGACACACGTCGAGTAGGTCGTCCAGTTCCTACCAAACACGCTGTAGGATGACTTGCGTAACATTCCCCAACGCTTTAGTAATTCTTTGCTTAAGTTTAGGCTTGTAGAAAGACGGGGATATAAACCTTTCCTTTCACATAGGCACATAGAAAAAGATAACAAGGTGTCATGTCAGGTGAACGTGGTGGTCATTTCAACAACACATTGTCATTATCACCCGATCGATTTTCCTGGTAGATTTTCATTGAGATAATTTCTCACAGTCAACTTAGTTCTTACACATTTTGTTAGAATTTGAAATCATTTGAGCGAGAATTGGCCATATTATTAGACTAAAAAATGATGCCATTTTTTTTAAATCAAATATTAATATTATCAATACTTGCAGTGATTATCAAAAAATAGGAATAAGAATAGGAAAATACTTTCTGCTATTGCTGGTGCAAGCAAAGGGAATCAATCAACATGCCGTGACGAGTGACAAAATATCTTGCAGTAGGAAAGGGGGTACAGGGAAATGGATTCATGCCTTTAACAAAAACCATTTGTAATACTTAAAAATTACTATATTTTAGGGGTTGTCTCGCCATCTTTCACCACCTTTGAATAACCTTAGTTTAATAAATATGATAATTAGGCGTGAAAATGACTTCAATATGGAAAAAGTTTCACCTAGAGACAGTACAAAGAAGAACGTTCACTTATTTAGAAATTTACAATAGCATAAGATGGCAGAAGACTTTTGTACAGTACCAATATTCTTACTTATTCGCTTTGATATATATATATATATATATATATATATATATATATATATATATATATTAAAAAAAAGAAGAAAAACGTTTTGGTTGTAATGTGGATTTATTTAGAAAAAATATTATGCTTTGTTTTACATAATTTTACGACACGTGTTTCTGGTCTCGCGACCGTCTTCAGGTAAAAGTGGAGATTTCTACATATTATTAAAAATAATTAATTTTTCTTCATGTTCAATGTGAAATATTCTCGATATGAGACATTGTTTGTGTATTAGTAATCCGAATTTCTTTCTAGAAAGAAATTCGGATTACCAACACACAAACAAATTACACACAAATACAGATATATATATATATATATATATATATATATATATATATATATATATAGATAGATAGATAGAGATAGATAGATAGACATGGAAAAAAAATATATGACAAAGTGGAAAAAGTTTTCTTGTCACGCTTTTCATACTTTAGGACCTCATCGGGGAAAAAACGTCACAAGAAAATTTTTCCACAATATTATTCTTGATATATAAAAGTATATATATATATATATATATATATATATATATATATATATATATATAGGGCCAGTGCGTGCTACCACCGAACCACTAGATCGGTGGCTCAGGCATGCCTTATTGGGGCCCTGGGCAGTTCATTGTGACTCTCGCTATCTTATCAGCATTTGCTTCTTTATACCTACATTTATTTACGCTACATATTAAACTAAGCACAACTGACTATTCAAGGATGAAAAGTTTTCGCGGATATTGACGTCATTCTGGGATTTTTTTATGTTTTTTTTTACAAATACGTGAATTTGTTTTGCTCGTGCTAAGTCTAGAAGAAATATTATATAAAATTCAATATTTTTTATTCCCAATGATTTAAAATTCTATAAATTTTTAAGAAGAAAAACCTCAAGTTGATGTTAAAAACTGTCGCAAAACATTTTTGATTTATTTAAGATGGAATGATGTATTATGATATGTCTCTAATTTGTACTTAGATACATTGTATTTATTTTTAATGTTTTAATTACGTTGTTTAACTCTATTGCAAATTATCTATTATTGTACATAATGAGTTTACAATAAAATTCTATTTTATATGAATACAACCATATGAAAATTGTGACGTAGTAGAGAAGGGGGGACGTATATATATATATATATATATCTCAAAGCGGATCAGTAAAAATATTGTTTTAAAAATTTTATTGTTTCGGTTTTGCTGTATTTGATTACTGAAGCAGCATAGGGCATTGAAAGCAAGGAAATTATGTTGGAACTTTTTATCATGAGGGTACAGACTTATTAAAGTAACTGCATATATATATATATATATATATATATATTTGTGTGTGTGTGTATGTGTGTGTGAGAGAGATGTGTGTATGTGTGTGTGAGAGAGATGTGTGTTTTGTGTGTGCGTGGGTGTATGAAGAATCTATCTATCTATGTATATATATATATATATTTGTGTGTGTGTATGTTTGTGTGAGAGAAATATGTGTTTGTGCGTGTGCGTGGGTGTATGAAGAATATATATATATATATATATATATATATATATATATATATATATATATATATATATATATATATATATATATATATATATATATGAATATATATATAAGACGGAAAACGGAAAGTAGTCACGTTTTTCGTTTCAGAATGAAGTTCATCAGACAAAATAAAGGTCAGACAATATATCTATACATACACACACACAGACACACACGCGATCTCATATGCACTCACACACACACACGCGATCTCATACGCACTCACACACACACACACGCACTCACACACGCACTCACACACATATATATATATATGTATATATATATATATATAATAGCAAAAATCACGCCTGTTCCATTTGCTCATTGTAGAGGAGCATATACACATCAAATCCTATTTTCTTTTTAACTAATAATACTTAATGAAAAGGAAATGAAATTAATGCAAACAAGCTGCATATGACGTAAACATCTTATACGGTAGGTTCTATCTATCTATGTATCTATCTATCTATCTATCTATCTATCTATATATATATATATATATATATATATATATAAACACCGTAGCTTTTAATACTGCAAATTATATACTGATAAGAGTACTCATTCAAGGTACTTTGGATCAAAGCCGGAACAAAATAAAAAAAAAAGAAAACAGTTTTTATGCTCACATTTTTTTTATCGTCAGATGTTGAATCTATAGCTTTCTTTCTGTCTATCTTAGGACATGAGTTTTCAATCAGTTTAACCACATAAACTCTTTGCAAATAAATTCGTTATCATTATCGATAAGAATTAAATATATATAAAATATATTTACTATGTATAAATTATGTATTAATTTAATGTACGTTATAAAAATTACAGTCTGAAAATTTTTGGGTTTTTTAATGATTCTATATGTGTATCTTGTTTTGAAGATCTATTTTTGCTCGTTCGACAAAAATCTCTCTCAAGGCTAAAGTTTTTTTTCCGGAAATATTAATTTACTGAGGTAAGATGAATGTTTGTACAGTTTCTTTTCTTTTCTTGCTTTTTTTTTTTTTTTTAACTCAGACACCAATCTGCAACGAGAAGAACTATTGATTCGTTCAGGTACGTAATTCTCTTTTGTTTACCAGCTTAAAAAAAAAAAAATTAATGTAGATGCATACGAAGTGCTATCGGGATGTTTCTGGACAAACTCCATAATTGATCCGAAAGAAATGAAAAAGCTAATGAATTGTCCGGCGTCGCTTCTGATGAAGAAATTTCCCCAGATTTTCTGTTGTTTTGCTCGTGACTAGTCGCTTCAAACGCTCATAATTTCGAACCGAAACTCGACCGACCTCGAAAACAAAAAATAAATAAAAATAAAAATAAAATAAAATAAAAAGGTCCAGAGAAAGGGTTCGAAGTCAGAACATTATCATTGATAACTCTCTCCTCCAATTTACGGACTCTAGTTACTATATTTTTAATAGTTGATATATTGCAAAAATATCACAATGATAAAATCAGTCAATAATTATTTATAACTATTTATACTGGGACTCATGCATGCAAGTACAAGTAATCTATAATAATATTTTAAATTTCGAAATATTTATTTTTAGCATATAAATTTTTGAAGCTGTTTCTAAATCTTTAATTGTCTTCCAATCATTCCGCCTCACCTGCTATCCTTTTCCGCCGTACCTATGAGGTGCACCGCACTGTTTGGGAACCACTGCCTTAGCAAGTATATCAGTTCGTCTCAGAAAGACTTGAGAGATTTAGTAAATTTTCAATCCTTTTAGGAGAATGATGATCTTAAATCCTTTCTTTTCTTTGCTTTTACTTTAATGTCGTGTCTCCTCGGGACGTAGGTGATTATAACTCTCCACCGATCCCTTTTCTCTATTATTTGTGAATTACAGACTTTGGAAAGATAGTGGAGTAGTTTCTTGTTATTTCACCACGGTTTTGAATTCAGAGTAGTCTTTTTAGACTGGCTGCTGTCCAAGGCTAAAGGTTCCTGTCCACCTTATTATTTAATCCATAGACTGAGTAGGGAGTGGAAAGGAAATATATTTATTCTCTAATTCTATTCTCCTTTCCATGGGCATTTGTGCAAAAAGTGAACGCCAGTATTATAATAAGCGTCTGGTTGTGAAAGGAAAGGAATAACAAGGATTAGGTTTTTGAACAACGTGTATTTTCTTAGTATATAGGGTGTCTTACAGAGTCGTCGGGAAATCGATGATATATCAATTTTTTGTTGCCGATCGTCAGGATGACAATCAGGTATAAGGATAGTGTCGGGAGTTGACCTATTTCGTGTGGGGGGTTGACACACAGGTCACAGGATATGGGCGTTCACACGTGTTGGCCGATAGAGGTAAAATATAATTTTAAGGTATGCTATATTTATGGGTTAAAGTGCTCAATATCAAGGATAGAGCGTATAAGGCAGGTCAGGTCTAGTTACGGTTTCCCCTAGGAGAGTACATATTTTTCTAACAAAATTTCTCGAAATATTCAGGCCAGTAGATGGAAATAAATAAATATACTGTTTAATAAATGAATAAAAACAGAGCACCTGCTCAAACATGAGTATCCATTAAAAAATAACGCTTAAACAAATAAATTAGAAATATGTCGGATTGTATGTATATGAAGAGGCACGGTGGAGTAATGGATAGCGCCTCGGATTGAGGAATCGGAGAGCTGATTTCGAATTCCAGTCTAATACCCTTACGTGCTAATATGAATCTTCTAATATGAATACTTATCCCTCAGCTATGGGTAAATAGCGGGACAGACCGGGTTATATAGACTTGGATGGCAACTGGTCTACCGCAGAAAGAAATGGCAACCCACTGCGGGAAAAAATCTGCCTCGTCAGTCATAAATCGAAAGATACATGATTGCCTAAACGTGTATCACGCATGGCACATAACTGATATCTGAAGAGAGCCAGAGAGGAAGAAAGAAGGAAAGAGGTAGCTTCATTCCATATTGTATCCCCTGGGTAATTTTTGTCATCTTTCTCTCTTTCTTTTCTGTTTTAAACATTTTTTTCCTTTCTATCGGTCATTGTTCTTATAGGTTTTCTTTCTTTCTTTCTTTCTTTCTTTCTTTCTTTCCAGTCTTTATTAACCCTTTTGTTACTTCCTCAACTACCTAATTTTCTTCTTTCTTTCTTTGTCCCTCTTGTCCAAATTATTCTTTATTCTTCCCATTAGGCTTGTTTTATTTTATTTTCTTTCTATTAACATTCAATCGTTTTTTCTGCTTCTCTTTTCTCTCTATCTTCGTCTACTTTTCCACTTGCAACTCAGTATTTTCATTTCACTTCCTTCTCGTACGATCACCGAAGTTAAGCAACGTCGAGCCTGGTCATTATCTAGATGGGTGATCGCTTGGGAATATCAAGTGCTGTAAGCTTGGATGTGCGGGTGGTGTAATGGATAATGGCTCAGAATTTGTTATTTGGAGAGCCGAGTTCCAGTTCTAGTTGGGTTCAATATAAACACTTACGCGTAAATACCTTTGGAGAAGAAATGAATCCACCACTTCTGCACTCAGCTATGGTTTAATTAGTAAGACTTGCATCACTAAATAATTATTATCTTAAAAAAAATTCTTACTGTCTAAAAATATTTTCTAGCTTTAAATAAACTGCAAAAGCTTAATAAGCCGTAAAAACGAATCAGTCAATAAAATCTTTCGTCATTTTCACCGCCTTTCATTTCCATTACTGCTAACGATGCTTGTTCCAGCCTCCCCGTCGTTATTCCATTACGCAACACACCTCTTCATTACTATTATTATTATTATTATTATTATTATTATTATTATTATTATTTCCTTGAGTTTCTGCTGTATACACATTTCCTTCCGGGTCCCAACCAGAGACCTCAGGTCCAAAAAGGTTTCATGTCATCTTCCATTATTCAGTTTTTGCAAAAAACAAAAAACAAAAAAAAAAAAACATCCTAAGATCACACACATTTTATATAGATAAAGCTCTTCGTAATGTGTGAGCTGTATTTGAATTCATTGACCGATCAGCCAGTACTGATTTCTGTTGAAATTTATAAAATCTTTCTCTTAAAACAATTTTTTAGGAAAACAGGTTTCTCAAGTCCAGTAGCTGTTATCGCTCTTTCCACTATCGAGTGTGGGGTGTTCCTTCCTAACATTTTACTTGAAGTGGTGTGAAATGTTAAAAGGTGATGATTTTGAATGAGCCAGAAGTCTTACCTACGACTTCAACCTTTGTTTTTTCATTTCGATTATTGTTCGTTTCTATTTTTCTTCATGCCAATTTAGCTTTTATTTCCCGCCATTCTTACATATTTCCTTCCATTAGTTCGCCTTATTCTATCTCTAGGTAGCAGATACGGTTGAAGACTTTCAAAATGAACAAATTCAAGATGTTTAGGATTTGTCATATATATTTCTATCAAGAACAACATGGCTCAGAGGGGAGAAAATATTCTTGTATATACAGACAACTCATAAAAAGGGCAAAGAACAACTTAGCGGTAGTATGTGTGTGTATGTATATCTGCGTGTGTATGTGTGTGTGTGTGTGTGTGTGTGTGCGCGCGCGCTCGCGCATGCGCCACGTACTTTGATAAAATTAAGTAGTCGGTTTGCATGGGGAAAATAAATCTTCCCTGGCGAAGAAAATTTCCGTGTTGTCGCTACTACACACCATGACAAAAAGAGAAAGAAACAGTGTGCTATTTCATTTTATATCGATAATTGCTGCGCCATCTAACGGCTTTAAGCGAAGTCCATTGGAAGATCAGGTGGTGTCATTTCACCTTCATCTCCTTTCTTTACAAGATTACATTATTTCTTAGAGTTTCTTCCCTTGTTTCTTCATTCTTTTCTCTCTTTCACGCCATTATTTTGTCCCTTTCTTTCACCATCCTTTCATTTATTGAACCTTTCTGTTTGTTTTAAATAACTTCTTCCTTCATTTACCACTTGATTCTTTTTCTCATTTTTGCCTTACAACGTTTCCGAACATTTTTTCTTATTTCTATTCTTTTTTCTTGCTTTTACTTTTTTGAAATATGGTTTCCTCCTTTTCTGTATCAAGCGTTTCTCCACTATTTCATTTTGATTAAGAAAAAGGCTCGTCAGACTATCAAAAAATCCAAGTGGCCTGAGTTCTCAATCGTTAGCGACCCACATGCAGCGAGAAAGCGTTTTCAACGGAACCGAATAGAAGGTCCGATGATGAAAGAGTAATTTTTGCTCTCACGCACTTGGCGCCAAGCGTCCACATGAAATGGGTACAAAACATTCAAGGAAGGTAACTTCCTAGGAATGTCTTCCACAATTCACACAGCACACCTCTTTGTTCCTCTTGTGTGGAATTGCTGCGGTGATGTGACCGGCGGTGACAAAGACAATGAATAGACAGAGTCATGAATTGTGTAAATGAGTTGATAGATTGATTATATATATATATATATATATATATATATATATATATATATAGAGAGAGAGAGAGAGAGAGAGAGAGAGAGAGAGAGAATAAGAAGAATGGAGAGAGCAGGTAAAAAGAAGAAAATAGAAAATAAAAAGAAAGCAAACAAAACAGTTGTTAAGAGAATTTGCGTCTCTTTAAGGTTTCTATTCATAAATCATCACGGATGGTTGGTTTTCCAGTATTATGAGAGATTCATGCGAATTTTGAAAAAAATCCATTTAAATATGGTAAGAAAAAATGCATGGTTGTTAGCAACACAATATGAACAATAGGAACAGCCCAATATGCAAATTAAAAATTGGATAGACCAAAATCAAACAAGTACAACAATTTAAATATCTAGGAAGTGTTTTAACAGAGGACAGAGAGTGCAACACTGAAATTCGAAGGTGCATTGGGATAGCGAAAGATGCCTTCCAAAAGCTAAGTAAAGTATTAAAAAAAAAAAAACCGGTAAAAATTCCATTATAAACAAAGAAATGAATACTGAACTGTTACGTAATATCAGTTCTCTTATATGACACTGAGTGTTGGACAAACTCCTCACAGATGAAGAAAGGACTTGAAGCAACGAAAGTGTGGCTTGACAGAAGGAGGCTGAGAATACAATGGACTGAACATGTGAGCAACGACGACGTTTTAGAGAAAATGGAAACAAAAAGAACACGTATACTTACCCTCAGAAAGAGATAGTAGAACTTTCTAGAGCACATAATGAGGAAAGAGGGCTTAGTAAAGTTGATACTCACGGGACAGGTTAAAGGTAAGAGGGACAGAGGAAAAAACGCATACCTAACGTGCTTGAGTAAATAGATAGCAGAACAGGTTTTAGGAGATATAACAAAAAAAAACGTATTAAGACCTACAAATGTAGAAAAATGTAGGAAAATGTGGAGAGCCATAATCGCCAACTTATATATAAATGTGTGTCTGTATTTAGGCAGAAAATTATCTTTTAGGTATGTCTGATTGAATAAATTACAGACATTATGTAAAAATTATGGGAAAAATTACGGTAATGGATAACAAATCATAACTTTGTATAAATATTTGTACTAATGAACAACATAGAGTTTTGTACTACCTGTACCCCTGAAGTTGATCTTGAAAGAATATCGAAAGTACTTGGGAAATGAAAATAAAAGAAATTTAAACAGTTATAACACATTTCTCTCATCCTTTAACATCAATACACGTAATGTTATTTGTGAGTATGAACAGATTTTATTAAAAATTAGCAGACATAATGTCTGTAATTTATTCAATCAGGTATATATATATATATATATATATATATATATATATATATATATATATAAACAACTATTAAAAAAGTTCATTTTTGTTTTTTAATCCGAGTACTTTCGACTGTTGCTACAGTTGTTATCAAGAGTTGTATTTCTCGCCTGTTTATAAAATTGTGTTTGGCTAATGTCGGCGTTCTGTCGTTTGCTTGAACCAATTTGAAATGACATGAAATATAATTTTGTTTATAAATTCTCATATCCTTTGGTTGATTGTATCTCCAACAGTAACAACCAACAAAGAACATTCAATTTTTACATTGGCCACACATACACCACACCCTCTCGTAGGTTGTCTTGCCATTTGTTAAAATGTCAAAGATTACGCGCACATATTGATGAACATAACACACACACACAAAAATAATAATAATAATCTTAACATAAGACAAATTATAATTTTTTCACCAAAATATTACATTGGACTCAATGCAAAGAAAAACTAAAAATTCTGGAAGCTGTTGTAATACAAAGGAAACAATGAAGGAACACCGGAATTCGCCAGGCACATAAACTGACAAAAAACGCAATTCTTGATAACAACTGCAGTAACAGTTGAAAGTACCCGGATTAGAAATAACGAAAGAACAATATATATATATGTGTGTGTGTGAGTGCGCGTGCGCGCGCACACAGATAGAAATAGATAGAGAGAGAAAGAGTGAGAAAAAATAGATAGATAGATAGATAGATAGAGAGAGAGAGAGAGAGAGAGAGAGAGAGAGGCAGACAGACAGACAGACAGATGAAAGCGTTTGCTTTACCTAAATATACCAAATTATGAATACCTAGTAAACACTTCCGTTTATTAAAACTCTGATCAGTACTTTTCACTGGTATGGTTCTTCAAAATAAACCTCAAGAGTAAGTATATTATACTTTCTAAAATTGACTGCAAGTATTTTTTAGATTAATTGACGTTTTTAAATATATAAACTATTTTTAGATTAATTGATGTCTCTTTATATAAATAGGAACAAAATTTAAGACGTTTCTTCAAATTACTGACTTGACTGAAAATATATTTTGAAAACCAAACCACCTATCAACGAAAGGTTGTTCACTTCTATATTTTATTTAAGAGGACAAGCAACCAAATGTAAAACAGTTTAAATCTACAGTGAAATAGGGTTTCATTTCCTTCCGAGTATCGAATTCTGCAAGCCCATTCTGCGGATTTGAGGCTCAGTTGAAAATAATGCTTGATAACTGGCAGAAACTCAATAACTATATCCGGTAGAGCTAAATAGAATTAATAATGATATGATATAATATTAATAATATAGTGGTGCCACAGATAGATATAGAAACTCACATGAAAGAAAACTGTTATTTAGACAGGTGATGATTTTTGAATTAAACGTGAATTAAAAGATCATTAGTTGAAGAGCAATTTAATGTGAATTATACAGGTGATGATTTTTAATTAAAATTCTAATTAAAAGAAAATGATCTATAAAGTTATTTAAAAAAAAAAAACGAAAAACTAAAGCAAAAACGAAATTCTGGTTGAAATGCTCAAATCAAATTCAACGTAAAATAACTAAAAAACTACTAAGTGAGAGATTTTACCATTTTAACATTGTTGATTATACAAGAGATTTTTAACACTATGAACTATACAAGAGA